CGCCGTCGTACTCGCCGATGAGTGGCAAGCCGCAGCCGACGTCCAACCAGCCGCAGCCGACCTCCAACCAGCCGCAGCCGACGAGCAAGCCTACGAAGAAGCCGACGTCCAAGCCGACGAAGAAGCCCCAGGGCGACTGCAACGGCTGCAACGGCTGCTACTACCCCGCCGCGTCGCAGTGCCTGACGGCCGACTACGACAAGGAATACTGCGAATACCTCGCCGCCGAGTACGGCACCAAGTGGTGCACAGCTTAAAGCACTACCCATGCTCGTCTTGTTTGTGCGTACATGCAATTCGCTTGTTTCAGTTGCTATTCCTTTACGATAATCAACACTTTGTTACCATTTATGCTAACCTGTATTAGTACGATCAAGATATCAAAGTCCAGAGAAGGATTCCATGTCTTTATTACGGGACGTGGAGCGCATTCGCTTTGGCTTGGCTGTCAGCATATTTGGGATACCGGCGGAATCATTCCAAACAAGAAAAGAGCTCTAAGTTCTAGTACCGTAAACCTCATAACACCTCACCACCCAAATCAGCCAAAACGCCAAGCGCCCATGGTTATAGTTCAAATTGTCGGTGGTGAGTCATTGAACCGTTGCGACAGCGAAAAAGATCGATTCGAGGCTCATCTAAACCCTGAGCTCGATGGGGCAAATAGGAAGCCGCATTGCCTCAGCTAGATCTCAATAACGCTCGTTTTAGCTCGATAGAGGAGGTGGTGAGTTATTGTGAGCGCCAAAGTCGTGCTTGGCATGAGTCGGACGTCTTCGAGTCGGCGATCCCAACGTTTGCAGTTGCGATCTTGACAGCGAGTTCATGTGAGGAAAATCGACTCAAACGGGTGAGACGGGGTGGCGAGATGTTAACAGGTTTACAGTAGTGTAGTGTAGTCGTAGTCGATAACATTGAGCTTATAGGGACGCATATATCATCATCATCATTGTTCTCGTCGAATGGACCATATCTCAGGTGCCTCACAACTCGGTCTTGGCGGTCTTCTTCTTTCTCTTCTTCTGCTTGAGCTTTTCTTTGGCCATGGCTTCTTGTCGAAGTCGCTCCTTCTCTTTTTCCATGGCCGCTTCGTCCGTGCCCGGAGGGTAGTACGTCTCGTAGTCCCAAAGCACTTCTTTGACCTGCTCTTGGTTGACAAGAAAGTCGACCAAGTCTTCGGCGAGCCAGCCGCGCTGCACCTTCACGAGGAGCTTGTCCGGTGTTTCGTTGAGTTCGAAAAACTCGGCTTCAATGCCGCCGTTGAAGAGCATCTACAGATTCGTAAAAAATACATTCCGCTTCCCAAAATGCACGCACCGATTTCCACATTTCGGCAATCGCGTGCGTCGGGTCGGGAATTTCAGGATACAAACGCACAAAGTCGGGCAGCGCCGAGTCCTTGAAGAGAATGAGCATCGTCTGCGGAATCCCGACGTCGCCGACAAAATTCGGTCGCTTCTGCCTACGCCGCGTCATCAGAACACTCGGACACTACGACACGAAAAGACGCACCGTTCTTCGGCCTGCCGACGCTTGTGCATCAAATCGACCTCGGGCTTGAGCTCTTCGTCCATGTCGCCTGTCTCCCACGCCTTCTCGACAGCCTCGTAGTCGATGTCTTTCGAGTTGAGCCATGCCGCCGCAGGCCACACGAGCGACGACGCCAGTACGACCAGCAGCAGCGCAATCGAGATCCACACCGACCGCTTCATGTGGAAAGATACAAAATGAGAACGATCTTGGGAAAAGGCGCGAAACGCGACGGTTGAAACACCACCAAAGGTCACCACGAAGCGTCGCCGACGATCGATTGCGGGCCGCAGGCAGACAGGGGCACGCGCTGAGTACTGTATTCTCTGGCCATTGAATCAAAGTGCTGCCACTATGCTACAGGATGTCGCTTGGGTAGCCCAGCGATTTGACGGTCGATCTGAGATGGCGTCGATTTCGAACGTGTTGAAGTTGGCGCTGGCTACTCCATATTCCGGATACGGGGATCGCGATTGCGGAAGCGACCCGTCCGGAACCTCAACTTGAAGACGAAGTTCGAAGCTTGTGGTACATCCGGATCCGGATAAAAGGGCAAAGTGCCATGTCGACCAGAACGCCCGCCATCGTCGTCATTGGCGACTCGATCACGCAGCAAGGCGCGATCGCTAGCGCCAACGGGTTTGTCTCGCTGCTGTGCCAAGACTACGTGCGCAAGGCCGACATCATCAACCGCGGCTGCAGCGGCTGGACGACCAGGTTTGTACCCGACACCGTGCCACGTGTCATCGTGCTGAACGGTGTAGGACGTGGCTGCCCAAGCTTGAGCTGCTCCTGACCGAGTGGGCACACCAAGCGCCTGCACTCGTTGTGATTTTCTTGGGCGCCAACGACGCAGCGCTGCCGCACGCGCGCGATGCCCACAAGCATGTGCCACTCGACGAGTACGCGGCCAACTTGGCGACCGTGGTCGACACGCTGCGTGCTGCGAGCCCCAATTCGTGCTTTCTTTTGATCACGCCCGCAGCGATCGAAGACGCCAAGTACGCGAGTCGCTCGAATGTCGAGGCTGGCAAGTACGCTGACGCATGCATCGCTGTCGGGCACAGAAAGGGCGTTCCGGTCCTCGACGTGTGGCGGCCGATGCAAGGCCGACCCGAGCTTCTTCGCGACGGTCTACACTTGAGCGTCGAAGGCAATACATCACTTTATCGCTGGCTCACGACGACCATCGCGGAGCAATTCCCCGCCTTGACGCCGGACGCACTCCCGACTGTCTTTCAATAAGGCCCCAAAAATTGTGGCATACTTGTCCATCTCGTCTTTGGCTCCCGTTTCAATCAATCAAT